CACATAGACGAAAGCATACAGAGCTTCATTTTTGGCCATGACGCGCTGGGAGAACCTCAGCGAAGAAGACGAGGCAGGTGGTACAAACTTATCTATCATGTAGTGTATCGCTCCTACCATGCCGCTACAATTTGGCATGTAACCTTGTACCAGGCCAACTGGTGCTGGACCGCCAAAGACTACTTGCGCCAGCACTGTGCCCTTACAGTGAAAACACCAGCCTGTAGCTTAATTGCAGCTGCTTCTGCTTACTTAGCTTTGCGCTGCTAAATCTGAGCCTACCAGGTTGAATTCCTCCGCTTCGCTGTCGTTTGGCCCCCAGCTGCAGCAGTACTGTTTGGTTCTGCAGCACGTAGTTTCGCTCTTGTCCGTGCTTACTGCTGTGCTGGCTGTTGCTGTTCCCGCTGTTCTTGCGGCCGCTGTTCCTGTCGCTGTCGCGGTTGTTTCTGTTGTTGTTGTTGTTGCTGTTGCTGTTGCTGGATGCGGCAGCTGCTGTTGCTGCTGCTGGTGGTGCGGCTGCTGCTGCTGCTGCGGCGGTTCTTCTTTGCCGCCTGTCCTTCTTTGTCGCCTGTCCTGCGTTGCTCATTCTGCCTTGTCAGGATGAGCCGGTGCGCGACGAGGCTCGTGCGCCAAAAGCTTGCTCTAGACTCCTCCACTCCATTCAATTGCATGTTTGTCTTCAGAGTCTGCAATCGATGTTTTGCTACTCACACTGGCAGGAGAGGCGTATGGAAGTGGCCTGGCCGTCTTCCAAGGTACCCGCGCAACAGCCCCTTCATGACCGTGTGGCGAATGTATCAAATGATCGCATGCCATGCAGCCAGTCCTTTACTGCTGTGCTGGCTGTTGCTGTTCCCGCTGTTCTTGCGGCCGCTGTTCCTGTCGCTGTCGCGTTTGTTTCTATTGTTGTTGTTGTTGTTGCTGTTGCTTCTGTTGCTTTTGCTATTGCTGGATGCGGCTGCTGCTGTTGCTGCTGCTGGTGGTGCTGCTGCTGTGTTGTGACGCTGGGGTTCAAAAAGATTTGCCCACTTCCTGCTTTGGCAACCATGCTGAAGCATTGCTTCTTTTTCATTTGCTTGGACACCAATTTCATTCAGCCACACTGGCGCAACGTTGCCGCCAAGTTCCTGTCACTGTCGCGGTTGTTGTTGTTGTTGTTGTTGTTGTTGTTGTTGTTGTTGTCGTTGTTGTTGTTGTTGTTGTTGTTGGTGGTGGTGGTGGTGTTGGTGTTGGTGTTGTTGTCGCCGATTTTCGCATGTTGTTTGTTGATCGTTGTTGGTCGTCGTTGTTGTTGTGGTTGTTGTTGTTGTGGTCGTTGTTGCTGTTGTTCGTGGTGGTCGTGGTGGTGGTGGTGAAGGTGAAGGTGAAGGTGAAGGTGGTGGTGGTGGTGGTGGTGGTGGTGGTGGTAGTGGTTGTGGCTTTTGGTGGTTCGTGTTTGTTCGTGTTTTTACAAAAATTCTTTCGCGTTGTCCCGCGACAACACAAGACTCCCACCATTTCACACGGGATCACAGCACACCCGACACGGGAACCGAAAACACCGGACGCGGAAACCAGAAACACCGGAGACCTAAACGCACCGAACGCGGGAACCGAAAACACCGGACACGGGAACTGAAAACACCCGCGGGATAGTAACGACCAGTTGGCATCAAATTATTGGTTTTTGTTTGTTTCCTGCTTGCAGGCAGACGGAGTGAGGTTGCCTCAGACGATTGTTAGGGTGAATCCATGTGTGTCATGTTTGCGGCCTGTGCACATTCCTGGCAACATCTATGACCCTGTTTAGTTGCTCACCTAGGCCTTGCTTTTAGTGGTTCTATGTCACCCTCCCTCCAACGTTTTTCAATGTAGCCTCTTGGAAGACATTGGAAGACTACGAACTCCCCCACAAACGAGATGAGATGTCTACTAGTCTGTCATTACAGTACTCGACTCCGAACCCCTGGGCCCTTGGGTGCACCGTTTCAACGGCGGTGCGACCATCATCCGACGGATCTGAGCCACCGTGCGCAAGTAGGCCTTCGAACGGGTAGGAGACACTGGCAATGTGGTCGGGGAACCGAGGCGGTGGAAGGGTGTTTGTTGGGCAGCACCATGACAGCAAATATATGCTAGATATGCACTGAGACACAAAACATCACACAACACATCAAAACACATGTCGTGATGTGCCGTCATTGGTCAGCTTGTTCCTACCTCTTAGTACAACGAGGGACATCTTTGACCTGGTTTTGGCAGTACAACGAGCGCATCCTCCTGGCACACAACTGCTCATCCGCCTTCCTGACGGCCAAAACTCATCCGACTGTCCATATATAAGCCCACCTGTTCATCGGATAATCCACAAAGATGCCGCCAAAAACCTGCTATTTGTAGGGAAATGGTGATAAGTCGTTACAAACATCATTCCAAACTATTCCAACCGATGCCGGTTCCAGCCACGATCATTGCACTCCAGGAATTGGCGCAATCCCTTGACTGTAACCACCCTTTCATACCAATATTCCCGTTCAATTGGTTTTGATAAACTTCTCCGGCATTATGAGCACCCCGCCCTGTCCTCAATCAGCAAGACGGACTGCGAACTTCAGGACACTTGACACTGTAGGCTGGGGCGACCCTAGAAACGCTCGACTCGAAGTCCCAGATTCGTCTAAACGACAATCCAATCGACTTGAATTCACAGGTGACGCGTAGCAGCGTCGGCATGTCGCTACACCGAGCAGAATCCTTTAGTTTTGTTTCGCCTGGTGTCACGATGGAGATTTCTGTTTACTTCTGTCATGTTCTGTCATTCTCGCATACTCTCACATTTCCCATCTAAACAACGACCGAATCCGCTCGGAAAGAGAAAGGGTCGAGTATACTGTGCGGATTTGTCACTTTCTTGCACAAGATCGAGTACCAATAGGTGGCGCACGGTAAGTTGATCATGATGAACTAGAGGATTTATTTGATTTGTTGGTTCAAGGCTTCAAACGTTTTCCGTGTTTTCTTCTTCGGGCGATCGACAACCACGACGATGCTGGAAAACCACGGTTCCGTGTGGAGTCCCCAGGTCATCGAAGAGTCCCAGGTCCTGGAAGACGAGGCGTGGTAGAAGACGCAGCTGTGAAGGCTGAAGAAGACCACCACAGGGAGTGATCCCCACTGACGGTTTTGGGGCGACTCCCATACAGGCACCACTTGGGATTTGAGCCAAGAGTTTCCAAAGGGGTGTATACTACAATATACTGTACAGGTCATTCCAAGCGCCGATTCCTTTTGACCTGCGCTATGTTTGCACTACTTACTGGAGGCTGAACCCTTGAGGTAGAGATATGGAGTCTGGTGGAGTTGGGTCTGAACAGTCCCAAATGGTTTTGGGCTGAACTCAACCGCAGACCTCACAGAACCTCACACTTTTGGTTGGTAAAGTGTGAGAGATGCATTCTTCGGTCATAATAAGTGGTCTGATGAGATCCGTTCACTTTGTGACAAAGTCCAAAACAATGTGCATCTATCGGATGCACGATTTCGATCTATTCCGTGTCAACATAGTCAATGTAGGCAAGTGAAGGTCGGATGGATCTGGATCCAAAGTCCGGAACACCGTCTTCGGCTTCACCGCAGGTTTAACATATAAAGCACACCCAATCGGTAACCCCAAAGTTGATCATTAAGAAGTATATACACTGCTGGGCTTGAAGTTGTTTAGCTGAGAGAAAAAGACGTGTTTTTTGATGTTGAATGACCTACAGTTTTTGTTTATGTACTTGTTTTGGCGTAGAGATTCTGTACAGTTTGTAGGATGCGTCTGTCCTGCCCAGCGGTGCAGCCAGCTTAGGTGGAAGTCTCTGAGGGCCTCACCCTCGACCGAGGCAAGGAAACCGTTGACGGTCTTTTGTTTTGGACAGATGGTTTCATACAGCGGGGACACTCTCTCTTATAAATATTGTGTTTACTTATTTTTTTATTATTGCATTATACATATTATAACTATATATATAATATTTTCAATATATATATATATATATTGATAGATTCTAGTTGGTTTTGTCGATTATCATTTCGGATTGCAAACGTTGTATGATTTTGTATGTGTGTGTTTTCGTTGCTTTGATACAGGGTTGCGTTCGGATGTTGCTGTCAGTGCTTTGGACAATGTCGCATGACCACCTTCTGAGTTGGAACCGGGTTTGGCGCGGCAATTGCTTCCATCAACTCCAATTCTAGCTCTTCATGTCATGTCTTATTTTTTTTTCTATTGTGTGTTTGTTTTGTATTTTGTGTTGACTAGAATATCTTGTTGAGTGATTAAGCATCACGAGGTAGAACATCAAGAGATGGGATCAGATTCTTGATCTTCCTTTACAGATTAAACAAGAACAGAACACCTTTAGATGGCTTTGAGTCTATTCATTCAGGTTCCTCGGTGACATGAACAGCCAAAATCGTCACCCGTGGAGTTTCAGTGACTTCACATGTTTGGGGGTGTTAAGATCAAAGTTCGAGAAAACGTGATCGCCAATGGCTTTACTTGAGCATTCTGGAGGTGTCTCCAGTTTGAATGCATTCCATCATACACCCCCCCACAGCTTGCTCTCCCATCTTTCAGCACCTTGAAAGGCGCAAACAAAAGCACGGATCTCGTCCTACAGATCGGGGGGACGCACGGATCGCGGGGACCGGTTGCCAGGCTACATCTCTCCTTACTTCGTCACCGACTCCCAGCGTCTCGTGGCAGAGCTGAAGAAGTGCCTTGGAGAACGACAAGTCGGCGTCTTGTGGCGACTGGTGTGATCAAGGCGCATATGAAGACCATCCACTTCGAAGGGCTTTGGTTTCCATGCTTAAAAGCAAATCTTGGACAGAAATGTGAGGGTATAGGGTGGCGTAAGTGGTGGCATAGGTTGATGCTTCAATGTCATTTTTTGGGTCAATGAGTTCGCCATGAGAACGACATACACCAAGATCGTGTGATGTTGAGATGACTGGTGAACGGGGGTTGCACAAAACTCAATGTCAGTGTCCAGGCACCATGCCACCACCCACTTACCCCCTTTGGAACCTTTGGTCCACCGTGGTGGTTACATTCCCTATTGCGCAGTTGACCCATAAGTCATCCCCGCAATCCCTGTGCAGAATGGTGGAGTCTACCTGTTTGATGATCAGGATTTGAGCTTTTATGCCCACGCTAGTTGGACGCCATCGCTTCTAGGGTGGAGGCCATAGGGTGGAGGCCATTCCTATTAGGTTCCTTTTGCTCTTAGGCTGGAGGCCATCGCTGTTTGATTGTGGCAGCCGGATCTCCGGATCTCCGTCGTCGCTCTTCGCTGCGCGGCGCTGCGCTCCGGGCGCTTCTCCAAGGCCACGGGTTCTGGTCACAGACCAAAAGCTCTCCGATGCTTATGATATCCTCACCTTGCTTGAGGAGCTCGACGTCCCTGCAGTGCTTACTTTTTTCTGTGTTAAGACTCCGCTGCGGAGTCTTATGGTAGATGAACATGTCTCGTACTCCCACATCAAGACTCAAATTCTAAACGGTCAGTTTTTTTCACACGGCAGAAGAACTTTTGGAACTTTGTGCTCGGAATCTCGTGGTACACATGCTTTGATTGCGTCGGGCCACGGCTGTTAAGGCCAGGGATATGTTTGATGTTCGATTCCTGCATTGTTTGTGTGAATGCTGCCTCCCGACCCAGAAGATGGCAAGATGGCTTCTACTTTCCCTTCCCTTACCCGTTGTATGCAGATATGTTCTTCTGCCCTGAGACCTTCGGGCTCAGAGATCACCGACGGAGCAGTATGCCGTTCCATGCAGCTTAGTTTTGAGTGGATGAAACCTGGTGAACCGATTCAAATCCGTCATGACTTCAGAAGCTTCTGGAACCATAGAACCCCCCAGCATCAAGACGTACTAGCAAGCCACAGACAGCAAAGGTTACATTTTCTTTATTCAACAACTCCTTCATTGAAATCAGCCCCCTGCTGGCTCGTTCAGTTCTTCATAAACCTAGCAGGACTTGCTAAAGACCAAGCAACCCATCTTCATCATCGCAGATGATGTGACCGGAGAGGCGCCACACAGCCGATCGGATCGTTTTGGCATGTTTTTGCAGTGACTAGATGCGACGAGTCGGACTGGATACCCAACCGACATACTGCTCGAATTTGCATTGATTTGCTATTTCTGCCCGAGCCGGCGTCCGAGTCTGCATCCTATTGCCAAGGATTCCAAACCGGTTGCCCCATGTTGGGTTCGGGAGGTTGGGTGCAAATCAGAAGGCAACCAGTCAAGAGCAGTGCAGTGCAAGGAACCCCCAGAAAGCGTGGCTAAAGCTGATTGAAAACACTACTGTCGAACTTGCAGAGTACGGCTCAAAACCACTCTGTGGCTTATGGGATCGGTCGACGTGTTTTGGGGGAGTCCATTTGATGCAATATGATACAATATGTTTGCATGTACTGTATATTGATGTCATTTTATTTCCCTGATCCATGGGAGTTTTTTGCTTCAGGATTGCTTCACTGCTACGGCTTTGTCTTAGCATTCAGAGCCCCAAAAATGCTCTTGAGTCGAGCAATTAGGGAAAATCGAGCAAGGGGAGGTCCCGATTGCGGATCCCGTTTGAGGCATTACAGACCTTGGTGCTGAACAAGCAGCGGGGCATTTTGGACGTGGTCGCCATCAAGGCTTTTCTGGGTTGAGATGTTCAATTGGCACAAAAGCAGACTATACTTAATTAATCAATATTAATCATATTTACCCTTCTTCAGGTTCGTTTTTTTCCCGCAGTTGCCGCTTTCCGGACACCGACTCCATTGGCTGCACGTATTGCTTCCGGACACCTCGAGGACCTTCCGAGAATGTCCACCGATTCGGGGGTTCCAACATAAGGATCGCCAATTGAGTCAACTTGTGGTGAAGACTCAAGTAAATTGACTTACAGTATATAGTGAGGACAGTAGTGAGGCCATACTCACTAAAACTTTTCTTATTGCAATGATTTGGTCATAGTCATAGTCATAGCCATGCTTCATCATCAAGGACTTATCCAAGCTTTCTTATCCTTGCGAACATGCATTGATGTGAGACCACAAATACAAGCATAGCAGAGAGGCAAACTCAAACTTCACTGGTTGCCGTTTGCTGTTGCTGTCTTCGACTTAAAATCGTGCCTCGGTGTGCGAGGAAGCCGGCCGGGCACTCTATCCAACTCATTCCAGTTGTCTCTCACATGCATGGCAACCCAAGTCGCTGAGACCCCACGAACTTCCGCAAGCAGATCGCCCGGTTCCACTGCACAACCAGGTGCACTACCGCACCGCCAGGCACCGGCCTTTGGTGCACGGAAGACTGCGATTTTGCAGGACATCGCCCTAGCCACAGGCGGCCAGCTTTGTGACACCCTTTAAACGAACATACGGATTGAGTGGAGTTCAAGTTTCTTTAGGATGACCCACTTGTGTCTCACACCAACTGACCAACAGTTGCAGTGGGTCTAGGCGTATGTGGCTGTTCATCTTGAAGTCCTGCGAATTCGTTGGCATCAAATCGGAATGACTTCTTCCTTTGGGACAGCCGGTCAGGCGCAGAGTTTATCAACTCAGAGCTGGGCATGACACTGCAGGAGACGTGCTGCTCAAGTGTGTGTTGGCGTCTTCCACACATCTTCCCCAACCGCGTCGGTGGAAGATGTTATCTGGCGAACCCTAATCAACTACTCCTTGGGTTGTTGCTACGCTTCTTGGAAGACCGGGCACCCGCAAACACAAAACCCATGTACAAGCAGTTACTTAGTGGTAGCTGCTTGAGCTGCCACGTTGGAGCGCGCGAAGGTGGCACGTTGGAGCTGCAGGATGGAGACCGTTTTCACAGATCGAAACTACATGAAACTACTATCCATTTCTCATATTTCTAATTCATTTCGCTCAATTAATGGCCCCATATGGCCCCTCTAGGCACAAGGATTTTAATCAGACCTCCACAATACCATTGGCTAAAGATTGGCTGGCAACCTAGAGGCAGCCTTGGATCTCCTTCAGTCTTGCTGACTTGTATTACACAGGTTCTTTTTATTGTCAAGGCCAGTACTTGGAACATGGCTATGATTTGCTTGGTGATTTGCTTGATTCAACTGCTTCCCTTCTCATAGCCGTAGGTCTGGGCAGGTCAAAACCATAAATACACAGCCCTCCTCAAAAGACACATTGAACATCATTGAACATTGGTGGACCATGTCTTTCTCGGCGTATTGATTTGATGAACGTGAGGATGCCACGGTCGACCAGCTGGGCACCTGCGAGAAGGTTGTGGTTGAGAAGGAGAAGGCGCAACGCCTTCTGGCAGAAAACAAGTACAGCCATGGTTTTCTGAGACGGCCATGGGTTTCAAGAGTTGGCAAAAAGAATTGGGTAAGCCCAAAGTGTTGTCTTTGTTGGTAATGTCTCTTCTGATTCCTATATTATCACGTTATGATTGATGTGCCACCCGGAGAGGAAAGAGTGGTACATCATCCCCAAATCCTGTTTGTGGCCAGTAGCGAATTTGGCGACATGCAGACATGGGCTTGCAAGCCGGATTCGGGGCGGTCCTGAAAGTCCTTGTTGCAAGAAACATTGGCATCCACTTGGATCCGATGGTCCTCACGTGCGGGGCACGCGCGTGCCCCAAGAAGCGCGTTTCGCGTGCCTGACCCATTGCCGTCCGCACAGCCTGGCGAGAGGCGGTTTTGGTCACAGATGGCTCCCATGCCGACTCGGTGAAGGCGAGTTTTTGATACAAAGGCAAACTGAAAGCAGTGCTGGGTGAACAGGAGTGGGGTTTTGGCTTGTCCTGATCGTGAGTATAATCCTGTTAATCATCGATCCCTTCTTGTTGGGTCTTTGTTTTGACCAACTTCGTGTTAGCTGTGTCAGGAGCACGAAAGCTATGATTTCAGAGTAGTTCCACGTTGGAGTTTGGCAGATGGTGGCATGTGGTTTTGGTCGCTTTGTTGTGAATCTTCTTATTTACTTGTATATCCGCTACAGTTCCGTCCACTTCCCTCCACCGAGTCCGCTCCAGGAGCGCATCGTTCAGTTGGAACAGCTGCTGGAGGACACGGACAGCAGTTACGATCAGGAGAAGATTCAGGAGTGGCCCACGACACGCGCCTGGGAGGTCTGCGACCGGTAACAGCTGTCCGTCCACACGCGCGCGAGGACATGCGAGGACCGTGTTTCTTTGTTTTTTGGGTGCCCGGGTGTGGCGAAAGCTTTCAAGAGCTTTTCGGATGCGGCTGTTCGGGCGTTTTCGATCCGGCATCCAAGCATCGCGGCTGCCAGCTTTTGGAAAAAGACCCATGGAGAAAACATCACGTATGAGCCTGCATGTGAAAACACCGCAAAACCAGGTTTGCTGGCATACAATCTTCACTTGTGCTGTCGGAATTCCATGGAACCCATCATTAGTGCCGTCCAAGTTCTCAGGTGGTAGGGGATTTGCTTAGCCAACCCCAGTTAAGCCCAACTTGTAGACCAAGGGCATCTTCCAAGCCATTTGTTGGTTGATGTTGGTTGATTTATGTGAGCCAAACCCGAACCTCCATGCACATTTCAAGTCTATGAGCAGCATGGTGTTGAACAGTTTTTGGTCTTGCTGCTGGACAAAATTCAGCATTGTCGGCACAAAAACGTATAAGATACATGATGATACATAGGATCTCTATCAACCTTAAGAACTATATACACTGGCTTGAAGTGGGTTCACATACTCCCTTCATCTCCGTTCGATGACTTGTCTTTTTGGTGGATTCCTATTCACCACTATCCTTGTTGGGTCTTCTGCCACACTGAGTCTGAAGCAAAAAGCAATCAAAACAAGCGCAGCACATCAGCTTCACCAGGATCCTCCGTTCGGGGTGCCTATCAATAACCTCTTAGAGGTGATTCTGGTTGTGTTCCAACCACCCAAGAACCACCAGGCTGTGTGTCGATCCAGCGGTTTCGTTCTTCGTTTTGGCTTCGCCAGGAGCGGATCGCCTCCCTCGGCGGTGGCGTGGCGAAGATCAAGGCGTGGCTTTTTGAAGACGTGTGTGGATTTCGGGGCACTTCCCAAAGAAACGATCTGTGGGCCAGGTGGAAGCATCCAGGTTGTCTTGGTTTCAGGTTGAAGTCGGTTTCAGTTGTGTCAAAAGTGTGTGTTGAGCGTGCAGAGTGTGGCAGATCTCAGGTTGAAGAGGACTAAGGTACTCTGTCGTGATTTGTGAAACAAACACAGTCTTGGTAGACATCCGTTGAGTCGTGTTTTGTCTTCTAGTTGGGTTCGCCGGGTGACCAGGCTTTGGAGTTTCAGGGGGTGTGATGCTGATGTGTGGCTTTGTACTTATTCCAATCATAGAGGATACACTCCCTGGAACTAACATGGAAGTGGAAAACTACCTGTTTCTAGAGGAACATGGTCTTCCTTTCGGGGCATCCTCCCTGGTGCATTCCAAGAGGCAGCAGATCGTGTCCGGCCCCTCGCCACGTGTCCCAGGTGGGAGGTGCCACCGAGACGGAGATGAATGACAAGAAGTGCCCTAGAAGAGTGAGATGGGATGGCGTTTGGTACGAGATGGTCAGTTTAGATGATCTATCTACGTTGCCCATGAGCAGGTGATAGCAGGTGTTGCTTTTTGAGCCGCTCGACCATACACGCTCGCTTGGCTATTTGTAAGTTTGGGTGTACTGCAGGTGCAGCAGTTCAGGCCTGCTACCAGTTTGGAAGGTTTTCCTTTGGGAGGTGGGTTGGATGAAGGACAGAGATTTCACTTGGGACTTGGGAAGACCTGAGAGGAGTCAGATTTAGATCAAATAAACAGATTGAAAAGACACACAGGACTAGGATTCCAACAACAAGCAAACACATTGAGAACATGATTTTGCCAGTTGACGGCTGTTGCCCTAATCGCGATGCCGCCGTGTGATGCCGTGTGTACACGCAGGCTCCGCTACACCGACGCCATCAGCGCGGTGCGGAGTGCCAAGGCGAGGGGCCGAGCGTGGCGAATCACGTGGATTTCAAGTAGGGCCCCTTGTTACGTTCGTAGCTTCTTGCTACTAGTAATGCCAGGAGCTACTTGAAGCGTCCTTGTTACTAGTAGCCATGCACCTTGTTACGCTCGTAGCATTCTTCTATAGGGCAGGGAGAATTCACATTATCTCTGCGGATTTCTACTGGGTGGAGATGTGACAGTTGTAGAATTTTGGGCACAGAGAATGTGAGCACTCTTCATGTGAGTCCAGAATCGTCCCAGTCATGCACGTGTCGAGAATGCCAGATGTCAGGCCAGTTTTTTCACTAGAACGATGCATAGGATTGTGTTTAATATGATTCAACCAAAACGACTAAAAGGTGTCCTAGCAACCAAAAAGTACAGTATCCTAGGAATATGATAACTTCATATAGCTTCATAATGTGTGAGAAACAAATTAGCAGAAAAGCTGCTTCAGACATGTTATATATAACGTTAACTCCATATTATTTCCCGCGTTGCTTCGCAGAAAAGCTGCTGTCAAGGAGATGGGGATTGTCCCTGGCGGCGGCAGCGTGCTGCTGTACCTCTCATCGGGCAAGTTCGTGGAGGCTGTCCAGAAGGCGGCTGCGGTGATCGACGTGGCATCGGCGTGTTCGGTTGCAGCTTGAGTTCGGCTACAGAAAGATGAGGTCGGGGTGGGAACGACGCTAGGAAGTCATAGAGGTGATTGCTTTGTGACTCAGATTTGTTGGGGAGTCTCTATACCATATACCAGCAAAGAGCCAATTAATGTTACAAGCCTAAAGCAAATGATTGAGAAATTTAAGTTGGTCGGTTGACCTCATATATATATATATATATCCTTTTTCTGACTTGGGGCGACTCTACTGGCTCAGGATGGGCCGCCCTGTAGACCGGGTAGCGAAACACGAAGCCACGTGGATGACTCCACGGCATCGTGTGGGCGAACAGCTGGGCGAACATCGGTCTTTGCACGCTATGATATGCTTATGTATATGTCCTTTTTTGAGGGGGAACAACACTTCTAAGGAGTTTTGGATAGCTTTGGGGAAAAGACCACTTCTTGAACATGTTGCATGAGTTCATCGAGTCTCATTGACCATCTTCGGCTTCGGAAAACCTCGTGCGAGACTTCCAGATTCATCGGCCCCAGGACCTGCGGACCGAAGATGAAAAAAAGGGCGCTGAACTGGTTTTCAAGTCGCTCCAGGCGCGGGTGTGTCATGGCTGCTCATGTGACTCATGTGGTTTTGGAATGACTTTGACAATTCGCAAGTTTGTTGAATTCATGAACGCAAACATGCGCAAAGAATATGGAACCGCTTGAAACCACCTGTCCTCACCTGTCCACTGTACAGAGGTCAACGTGGCGAATGGGTCCATCATCCCAGTCGCCACCAGATACCAGCCCCAGAGCTGTGGGTCCCACTGAGGCACCCATCCGACAGATCGCGCGGAATGCGGGCGAGGACCCCAGCGAGGCTGGGGTACCGAGAGGAAAGAACTTCTGGAACTGAGCAGGGTTCTCTTGGAACAGATTTGGGTAATAGCGAATCACGTCAATGGGTAGACTGGTCGACTGGGGGTCTCAAAAGCCACCCGTTTGGGACGTGTCGCGTTTATACCTTTCAAGCATGCATCATAGCAAATGTCCAATCATGACGACACTTCCAAATCAATAGAGATACAATACTATTTGTTCACGTTTCAACCTCCTTCGCCTTCTTTTTACTTCCAGACGGTGTGTGTCCGGCCTCCTTCGTGACCTCCGCTGCGTTTGTCGCTCCCTTCGCTTCGCCTCGGACGAGACGTCGATGCCTTTCACGCAGCAAGCAGCAGCGAACGCAGCGAACGCGTCTCGACCTGCCCACAAGTTGTGGTCCAGATCCAGTTTTGGAAAGGCCAAAGTTGGGCAAAAAAGGTCTAAGACAAGTGAAGCTGAACCTTGAAAGGCTTTTGCTGCAAGAAAGCACTGGGATCATCAGGAGTTGTTCTGACCAATCCTACGAATTGCTCTATTCCGTGCACACCTTTCGGTATTTTTTGGGGGGACCACGTGCAAGATTGCTCTCTTCCCGGTGCGACACGTCCACTCAAGACCGGCTTCAAGACATTCGCACCCAACAGCGACGAGGTGGTCTTCTCCCTGCGGGGTAAGGATTTCGGCTATGGCTACAACGCCGCCACCAAGGCGGCAAGGGGCGGTGATGAAGGCAGACTTCTTGGAGTCACTAAATGTGTTTGGTTCATCTCCAGTGTTAGAAGCTTGCACATATTTATTGAAACATAGTATGATGTTTCTGGATCCCCTCGGTCTGACTTCCTTTCTGTCGAGTCATAAAGGTTGAAAGATGTTCCACGTTCCAATCATGTCGCTGGTTTATGGGTGCAGTCGAACTATATAGGTTGGCGTCCGCCTAGCAGGAACTTTTTCGGGCGTACGTTTGTTCGTATGAACGTATATATCCCGCACCACCCTTTGGTACAGAAAAATTTGCTCGAGGTATGTTTCTTATAAATACGCACGATTGAGTACATGTTCCAAGAAATGTGCACGTTTTAACTTCGGAAAAAAAAGGCGCTCGAGTTGCATGATGAAAATGTGAAGTGCTTCAGAAAGCCATGGGATGAAGCAGAATGATTGTGAAAGCGATAAAGTCAAGCAATATCTGAATTTCATCGAGTCGATCCATCACTTTTTCCATTTCACCTCAGCCAACCTTTCTTGTTCCACTCACTTTTGTAGTGGCATAGCGCCCGCTGAATAGTCCTCAGCGCTATACACCAAGCATGGCAACGTCTGCTCATTCGGCAGACCTGAGAAAGCAATCCATGCAAGTGACCGAAATTGGCATCAAACACAAACATGAGGCACAGCATGGTCATTGTTTCCAAGTGGCTCGTCCAATGAAATCTTCATCTATCCATGTTTGGTAGCCTTAGGGTAAGAACAGCACACTGACCAACATGCACAAACCAGCGGGGCAGGGTGTTAACAGGTGATGTCAAAGGGCACGCGGGCGAAAGTACCCAATCTGCACCTTGATCAGCCAGCTGATCACACATCCACATCCTTGGGCACATGACAAAGCACATGTCTCGCACGATGGGTCATGGAGAGAACGCAACCATCTGGCTTTCAGAACCATTTCTTGTATGTAACTCTGCTGTATTAAGAGTTGAACCAGGACAGGCAACAAGCACATGACAGCTGCGAGACTCTTCTGTTTGCTTGCATGTGGTCCTATGCCACAACCAGCAGCACAGAACACACATGCCATGCATTAAAAGAAATCCATAAAAATCTATATATCTATATGTGCTTGGATATATAAAAAGCGATGTACATGACTCTAGACACCACCAACACTGTAGCATTCTTCACAGAGTGCTGCGAAGGTTCATGATTTCTTGCTGCATGTGTGCTTTCGGCCGCTTGGCAAACAGCTTCCAAGATTTACCATCACAGTAGGCACGCAGTGCACTGGTTCCTTCCTTGGAAGCACAAAGGGCAATCTCGCAGGCTTACATCACATGAGCTGCGACACCACAAGCTGAAATGGCAAGCAAGTTTCGGTCATTGATTGACATGCTGATACAGACTGCTCGGCAACATCCCTCTTGAGCCATGCTTTGTGGCTTACACATCGATGTTTTGCAGAGTGAAATGGAGGAGAGCCCAAATATCTTGGTCCACGCCCTTAGCTAGAGCAGCCAAGCCAAGTCTCAACAACCACAACCAACTTCACAAACAAGGACCAAATAAGTCATGGGACATGCCCTTCCGGGTTCACTGTGCTCACAAGGTGGAGGAGCCACTTGGAAACCACCGTGGTGTCATAGCCTTTCCATGAGCATTTCGGAAAGTCTGAGAGCCTGACAGCTGCACGTACAGGCAAGAGCCACACACAAACTCACATGCAATACGCTGGTCCATGCAACTCCTTTGCACACCAAGAAGCGATGTCATCTTGAATGTGGCAAGCTCAAACTTTGTCAATGAAGTATTCAACTTCATGGCCCGGCGCCATATATGAAAGGAGTCAAAAGCATTGGACAAACGTGCATCAATGTTGTTCCCACCAAACAGGTGCCATCTGCAAGCAAGTAGAACCTCAACAGCACACTTTCTCAGCAGGACACAGTCCAAAGCACATGCGTACCAACAGAAACCTTGAGTGCAAGCATGATACTATTCCACATGCGCAAAATTCTCTTCCGATCCCATGATGCCACGTATGCATTTGGTCAGCATGTTCCCCCAAACACTGTCTTCGAAACACTGTCTTCCCCCGTTTGGGGACCAGCAGATGCAGCTGGCTTTTTTGCAGTCTCAAGTTCAACCCTCATGCGTTTCAGCTCAGCCATGATGCGGTTTCGTTTGGCTTCCATGCCCTCACCAGCAGCTTCTGTGGGAGCACAGGCATAGGCATCATCCAAGGCACGTTTGCTGCCAGTCACACTGGAATCTGGCGCATGCTGACTCAAAGCCACAGGCGCTGTTCCAGCAGCATGCTTACCAGCATGTGTGGCTATATAGACCTGGCCTCAGGAACGCACATACCTACACGGACACGGATGCCATATAATAAATAGAATCATATCACACAAGGCATCAACGCACACACAAGAAGTCCAGCCTCGGTTGCCTTTGCTCAAGCAACTACTAACGCAACCTTCAGATGGTTCTGTTGGCACATTCTTGGAGAGCTCCCAGATTCTCTCCAATTTTTCCTGGCTACAACACAGAACACAGATGTCTCTAGCTAAATGTGCCCTGGCCTGGATCTTTTTGTCCAAGTCAGGCGCTGGCGATGGCATGTTCAAGAGTTCCAAGCCGACAGGCAATGACTCCTGAGACTCCGAGGATCTCATCTTCTTGAACAACACCAGCTGCAGTAAACATGGTGTCAAGACAACCACAAAAACACTTTGCGCTCGTTTGCGTTTTTTTGCGCCCGCTTTGCGGAAAATAGCGCCCGCTTTGCGGTTGACTTCGGCCCCGACATTTCATGTTTCATGGTCAAGTCCTACTGCAACACAACATGCCGTAACATTTTTGCTACACACATGCAGTGCAACATGCCCTGCGTTGCGCAAACTTTGCGCAAAACTTTGCGCAAAGTTTTGCACAAACCTAGCGCAAAGTTCATGAGTTGTGTCACACTCTTTTTGTATTTCTTGCAAGGTGCCAAGTATAGGTGTACGCTTTGAACAACGCGAAAACTAATTTCATGCACCAACCTCACAGAGACATGCCGCTAGCTGCAAGAAGCCTTAGGTTATATCTACAAGCCAGGCAATCACAACACACAGCTCTAGCACAGTGCAAGTCAAGCAGCGACCCTCTTCCTTGACATGTTGTACTCTTCGATCAAGTGTTTTGGCACCGACACCCGGGACAGGAGCTCATCTTTAAATGCTGCCATGCAAGCTTGCCAAGTGGTCGGTATGCTTGTGCTCTCCATGCTGTACAAGTACGTGAAGACACCAATGCAGTCTGCGTCATGCCAGCAATCACCGCAACCCAACTCTTCAAAGATCTCCTTGTCTGTTTTTTGGTTGCCCTGGAACTTGGGCTTGGTCCTGCAATCATGACCCCCGTACATTCAAAATTACATATGAGTAGTACTTAAATGTATAGCATGCGCATCATGGCCTCAAGGTCCTATTGGCTTCTTCTGGTGCATCCAACCATATGCGGGCCAGACGGCGCCCAAATGCTGGAGGGTATGACCTCACCAATTGCACACAGTATCCAAAGCTGAGTGCCAACCAGGATCATCACACTGAGGCTTGCGCTGTGTGGATTTCAGCTGCTGCGTTCCGGACCAGGAGCCATTCTTCCGGCCTTGAGAGCTGGCACAAGATCTGCTATATATTATCTACTGCGCAAATGACTGCTATGTAGGCTATTAAAAAACAAAAGCCACACATAAGTACCCGGCGCGCAGTCTTTATCGTAGTCAAGCGGCCCCGCTGTTCTTTGGGGAGGGGGCCAAGATCTATCATTGATATGTGGCGCCAGTTTGACTGGATTTGCAATCTTTTGGGGCATCCAAGGCCATAGTGCATCATCCAAAACGAGGTCCGATAGACCTGACATGACTTATGGAGGCAGAAGCCCAGCACATCCATGCAGCAGTCAACTTGCAAACAAGACACCCATGCCACCCGGTTTTTCAGCCATGACCACCGATGGTGCTCAAAGAACATCGAGAGGTTTGGCTGCTCAACGAGCAGAATGCATGGTTGGCAAGAACCACCAGGCACACCAAAGTCAGCCTAAGAACATGCACAAGGGAGGCAAGGATTGGGGAACATTGGAGACGCACATGTTCGACAAGTAACCGGCTGGCCATCCGGTTGCCTCCTTCAACAAATGGGTGAGCAACACCCAGCACATTAATTAATGACCGCTTGGTCGTTCCTCTTGAGGTTGCAACATGCACGCGCAATCAACACAGAGCATTCTTGCATTTAATGAGCTGAGTTGCTGCAGATGTCCTTTCCTCTCGGAAGCGTGAGCGACCAGAACTGGAAAACTGCTTGCATCACCTGGTCCAAGCTCGGTCGCAAACCCAAATGCCTTATAGCAAGGCCCACCACAAGCTTGTTGTCCTTCAAGTCTCCTCACAAGGCAAATGCAAAAATACACAATAGTCCAGTTGGCCTTGGTTCATATGTAGCTCCAAATATGTTATAAGGACATGCGAAATGCAAGTGCTATGCGTATGTAGATATATATATATATATATTACCGCTAATATTGCAGCCACACAGCTCTTCTCGTCAACTTCGAGGAACGAAACGAGCACACAAGGACATCTGTTGTCCAGCTGGCGCAACAACATCCTCATTGGCCCACGCAGTGGCCAAAGTCCCAGCCTGCTCAAACATGTTTGGCACAAAGCCCTGCTGCAGCCCAAATGCTGCACAAAACTTGCAACATGTCTCCAACCACATGCCTGCACCTTGCCAAAAACAGCTAGGAAACCTGCTCGTGTCATGGGCAACCATCGTACTCCTTTATCACTCATGAGCAGAAGTCAAATTACATGAATGCCAGCAAACAAGAGAAAGCATTTCTCCTCCGGGTGTGGCCAAATTTTCCATTCGAGCTGCGAACTTGTCGCACAAAACAGCTGCATGACACAACAGGCATAGCCATGAAGATCAACGAAGCAATGCACACCATCCGCGCAGCATCAATGACAAAAGCCAACAAATGTGAGCAACCGCAAGCAATGAGCGGCAACCATGAAGATTGGTGATGATTTTGACTAAATCATGCAGAAATCCGCTCGATTAAAACATGTGCACGATTAGCACCCTTACAGAGAAAAACGCTCGATGACAAAAGTTTGTACCAAACATACCTCGAGCAAATTTTTCTGTACCAAAGGGTGGTGCAGGATATATACAGGCTTTGCTCCAAATGGAATGATCACACCTATATATTCAGATTTATCCAACAGTGTGTGAAATCCCGCAAACACCCAGAGCCCTACGTGGCCTCCCAACAACCCGTTGGGGGCCCTTCTTCAGCCCTGCACCAACGGGAGGCGAACCGCGACGCGCGACCCGGCTGTGTTTTGGATCAGGTCTACGAGGACCTCTTGAAGGCTGGCGTCGTGGATCCCGCGAAGGCGAGTGGAGGTGAGTGGAGAACCAGCTTCCGGAGGGTTATGTGCTCAGAACTGGTTGAAGGGAACATCTACAGTGAAACCGAAACCCATATTTTGGGTGAGAACCATGGTTTCCTGAGGAGTTTCTCTCTCACCAAATCCCTTGATTATTTGCTCAAATGTTCTGAGCGTTGATCACACTATGTCAGAGTTGATCCCTTAGTTTGCTAGATGAGGATCGGTAGAGCTCTTTATCCCCACATGTTTTGAGATGGGTCGAGACAGGACACATGGGGATTTGTTGAACCGTGAGCAGTGAGTGGTCACTGGGAATAGAGCTTGAGGGACATCATAGGAATTGTTCTGGTTTGATTGTCGTGTGAAATTACAACTCAAAGAAGTGAGCCAAGTGAACCAGGAAACAACTAGCTAGGAGTGTTTGTTCAACTCATTCGATCTCCAAAGGCTTTGAATCTGGGCACTCAACATGGAATCATTCACATGTCTTTGCTGTAGATTTGTTGAAGAGGGTGCAGAGTGCATGGTTCTTGTTGAGTGGACATGCACTCACTGACCTGTCATGGTGATTGACCTGTCATGTACAAGGTGGTTGGCACTTTGGTGGCTAAATGAGCTCACGTTGGGGCCTAGAGACACTTGGGTTGAGGAACGCCTGAAAAAAGTAAAAGAGTTTCCTCACCAATTCCTCATCAAATCTGAAGGTCATTCTTCCTACTAGATGAAGATGCAAAATTGGCCGTGGCGACGTTCCAGGTTCAGTTGAACGTCTTGCAATGTTGCTCCAAAGCTCCAGCCTCGAAACTCCTGTGGTTGTCTTGGCAAGCTGAAACTCAAAACAGAAGCTTTGGAAGACGTGAAGGAATATCTCAGTCCAAGACTTGGCCAGAAGGTAGAAAGGGTTACCTTCCCTCCAACCATGGATCATCGTGGAAGTGGAAAGACCATGAAATCCTCGCGGGGGTGAACTCCACAAAGTTTTCCCAACCCAGTTGGGCGGCAAGGTGATTTCAAGACTCCGTATACTAAAGCCTCAATCCCTTCCCTGCAGTACCGCTGCCTCCTGCAGGTGGTCATCAACTCCGTGGTGAATGCCGCCTCGATCGCCGGCATGGCGCGGCTGTCCTGTCACGGCTGTCACACATCGCGGCGCGAATGGCCGCCCTCCAATTTGTACTCCCTCCAGTTTTGCACCCCAAAACTGGCGCTACTAAGTCGTTGCAGCTGCGAAGGCACCTCCCATTCCCGCGACGGAACGCGCCGTCGACCGCCGAACGCGTCGGTCAGGTGCTCACCACCGACGCTGTGGTCACCGACCTCCCGACCACTCCACCACCCACGCCTGCGGGCGGTGGCATGGGCGGTGGCATGGGCGGCATGGGCCAGGGGCGCCCAGTGGAGCTGTCCGGTGGATAGAAGAAAGGCAGCAGAAGCATGAAGAACACATCGACAAAACACAAATTGGGGATGGTTGTCCATATTTGGATTCATTGCGATACATGTTAATGCACTGTTTTCTTTTCTCAAAGGGAAGAGCACATGGACAGGGTATGACAACTTCTTCAACAATTCCAACGATAAGCATCAAATGCACGTTTGAGTGTGGGCCAGAAAAGCAATACAGCTAAGAACAACCTTGAAGCGTTTCTTGGTGAATGTTGACAAGGGGAACAGTCCAGAGATTGGTTGGAAGTCGCCTGACTTTAAGACAAATCCCATCATCTCACCGATTCAACGGGCCTCAGCCATCCCTGGATTTCGTTCAGCTCAGGTGGTATGGGTGGCATGGGCGGCATGCAGGGACCTCGGCCGGTAAGGATTGATGGGCTAGGTGAGACATGTATCTACTTGAGTCACCTCAAGACGTGTTGCTTCATCCACCGGCTTGTTCAGATGTTGATTGATACTTTGCTGCTGCATGTGGATCCCTGTAACACACATCATATGTGGTGCAGACCACAAGCGACAGTTGCCTCAAGAGAGGCAAATCGAGCAGCATTAGTGAAATCATTTATCGGAATCGTAAACCTACGGTCCAAGGCTTTGTGTAGAGCCGCTGGAAGCCTTCCATGTAAAAGAACCATGGGCCCTGCTGGGGTTTTGCGAGGGTTTGCCCAAGCCGGGGACTTTGTGCAACCGACCAGATAGATATATATATATATATATATGAGATCCTTAATTTATTCACCTTTGGGCTTGTCTCATATATATATATATATAAAGGGGAAAGCCTAGACCGATGGCTTGCATCTAATGGTCTATGAACAGAGGAAAACAATGCTTTGTGCCACCCTGACCCCTCTCCTTTGTGCCATTGCGCTATGGCGCCACGAGGTATTGAGACGTTTCTCAGAGCTTGGTAGCCTCTCCCGATGAAGAAGTGAGCCGGAAAAAGGTTCCAAAGAGATGTGCAGCAGAGTAGTATGCGTACGATCGCCTTACTTTTGTTCCAGATCACACAACCAGGTCACAAGATACTTGGAAGAGAAGAACGTTCTTTGGCCGACAGATTGCTTCATGAACAATTTGTTCGTGTCAAACGGAGCCCAAACCCTGGTAGATTGACCCCCCAAACGTGGTTTGTTCATGTTCTGTGGTCAACCGGTCGGTGTCCCGGTGCCAGCATCCGTCGGTCTCACGGCATCCGTCGGTCTCAGCGTCCGGGTGTCCACGGTGTCCAAGCAGGATGTCAGCTGATGAGCAGGCATAGTGGCTACAAAAGGCCAAGCAGGGCTTTGGAAGCTTACAGTTCCACCGTTTAGCTTTAGGGATTCCCGGATACTCCTTTAATTGCCCCAAAACACGCGTGAACTCATATTAGTCGTAAACCAGCACACGTTCTGAGACTGGCAGCTGAAACAACTCCCGTCCAGCGGTGTCAGCGCGGACCCGACCGCGGCTCACTTGGCTTGCATTTCAAAGCGAGCTCCATTTCTGTGCCTGACCTGTTCGCGTGAGCTCGGTCAGAAGTTTTGTTTCGGCCTCGTGCATGCGGTAGACCAGCCCTGCGGCAAGGCAATCAGATGAATTTCCCCATATGAGCTGCCAGAACACTAGAATCAAAGCCTAGACAGTCTTCCATCAAAGTTCATATTCTTTCGTGGGCTCCCAATTGTGTACAGAATATAAATATATATAATATTATATGGATGGCTCATTCATTGGGTGCAAGTAGTCGTTCCTCTGTCTCGAACCAGCAGTTTTCACTACATGCGTTTGGATTCAGAGTCTCCTCAGGAAACAGCCACAGTCAATGTTGTCGATGCTTCTGTGGGTGCAAGTTCATACGTGTTGTTTAAAAAAGGGGGGCAAAGCGGCAAAGCTATCCTGCTTGGCACTTCGACAGCATGTGTTACCTCCTTTAAGGAATATGTGTTCACTTTCCCTGGCTCAATTAATCTCCGCATTCACATCGCCAGCCGTGCGGCATGTGCCACTCCAGTCATCTCCCATTTGCCGGAGCGCAGCTATGTACTGTTTGGGAGTCTCACAACAGTCCAGCAGTCGTTTGCTTTCGTCTTCGAATCGAAATTCCAGTTGGAACCCAAACACTGGATTTTTGGTGTCTCATTGCAGATAAAGGGTGAACATCACTGGTTTCCACCGTCTTTCTGGGGCGACGTCAAACGTGAGAACCGGTTTCCACCTGTCGTCCTGGGCAATCGCACCGGTGAGATGTGGAGGGTGATTGCTCTGAATGTTCAGCTCGAGACTCTTGCTAGGTCCATGTTTGGAGATGTTAGAGAACTGTTTGTGGGAAAATGTGGGAAAGCGTTACCCAGTCACATTTCACCACAACATGGACTTGTCTCTTGCGAGGATCAACATGGACCGTGCTTTTGCTCAGACACCTTTCCTAAAGACCTCTTGCATGCCGCCTTTTTGGTCTCCAAGATGCAGCTGGTGGCAAAAGGGTGCATGCTCAACCTGTCGGCATTCTCTCTCCAGTTCACCTGAGTTGCTGGTGAGACAGTGAGACTCTTGATTTATAATATATATATAATGTAATATATGTGCGTGTGACCTAGGAAGCAGGAAGCTGAGCATGTTCTTTATTTCAAGGTGGGTGTGACATGTCAGCGTGGGAGGGTTCTTCAGAATCAAGTTTTCGTGATTCTTTGTGATTCCTGGTTCTAGCTGCAGAGGCATAGGCTAAGCACAACCATGCTTCTTGGGTTCTGAGTTTGTTCAATTTCAATCTTTTAAGCCAGTGTATGATCTCAAATTGAACATGTGGAAGCCTCTAACCTCGATTGTAGCCTACGCTTTTTTTGGCTTTCTGAAACTCCTCAGGCATCCATTCACTGAACATGACGATGGGCCAGTCCATTCGACTTCACACGCCGGACTCAAACCGGTTGAGACAGACCGGTACCGGTCGCCCAGACTTGTTTTCCAGTCACGGCTTGCAAGTGGAAGGGGAACTCTTGCTCAAACCACCTGGTGGTGCTTTGCTACCCTGAAAGATTCCGATGAATGTTTGACTCAAAGGCCTTGGCTGTAGATTAGATGCAGAAGTCACTGGAGCCATGTGCTCCATGCACGGACCCACGGATGGCTTGAGAACCACTCGGACCCCCTGACTCCAATGACTGTTTGGGTTCCTAGATACAGGAGAGATGGTAAGAAGCCATGGCCCCAATTTCAGCCATGGCTCCTCAGCTATATAATATTTGTATATATTTGTCACCTGAACTACCACAAGTACTCTGACCTTCATGAAGGAAGACATTCTGCAACACCATCTGGTGTACCATTCCAAGTGGTGGCACATTATCATCCGTGTTTGTTCTGATTTGTTCATTTACTGTAATCCCAAACACTGCTTAAAGTCATTCAAAGTCTATGATTGTTTGACACTTGCAAGCATTTGCTCATGGCCGGTGATGGCGGATTTGGACGCCCTGTTCTCCTCAGACACAGAGGTCAGAACAACCTATGTCAATGTACTTGTTGCTTGCCACTGTCTTTTGTACCTGCAATAGCCTGCAATCAATCACCCTAGTTGTGCAGTTTGTATATCTATGAATACTCTGCATGCATGTACATAGATGATGAATTGGAATCCAATCCTTCCCGGTAACAACAGCAAGCGTGATATACCTTCATGTTTGCTCTTAACACTTCAAGAAAAAGACCACCAACGGTCTCGTTTCTCCGGAACCGACGGTCCCGTCCGCAGGAGGAGCAGAAAGAGCTCAAGTGCCAGCGGAAGATCCGTGCAGCTGAGACCTTCAAGGCCACCGGGGTGAGCTCGCACGCGTTGGATGGGAGGAAACTGATGGATATGCATCATGGAGGGGTCAATCATTACGCAGACAAGAACTTGTTTTAGAATATGTGTTCAACAGCATTTTGAGTATATATGTCACTTTGTTCATTGTTTCAACACATTATTGCAAAACATGGTTTATGCTCAAAAAACAATGGCACAATATGATTGCAAGAACTGGTGCAGAGTTCTTTGCCTGCAGACTCATTTTGGAGTCGAAACGATGCGTAGAGCTGCCCAAACTTATGGCTTGAGAAGTGCCAGAAGACCTGTGTGTGGTTCCCTACCCTTGCACTCTCCGAAGCGCCTGATGTCGAGTAGCAGTGCAGGAGCACCTACAGGGGTGTGGCATTGCCTCCCTTGCAATGGCATCTCCAATCCTCAGCTCAACCTCCCAACCTCCAAGGCATGCTTCATGCCTCTTCCTGAGTTTCTGGCTTCCAAAAGGCTCAGAGCCTCTTCAGATGGCTCACGACCAGGCACAAGACACATTGATGAGCCATGGTCATGGATCGACAGAACAATGCAACACGCCGTCCCAACAACAACACCTACTGAAGAGACACGCATGGACAGAGCAACAAAAGCAACAAAGCCTCCTCTCACACAGAATGCAATCTACAGACCATACAGCCAAACACCCTGGCTCAGTTCAAGGATTCTGAGGTCATTTGTCCAGACTTGTGGTTCCTTGGCCGCATGTGCACCGTGTACAGGAAGAGGGGAACAGCTTCTTGAAGCAGGAGCAGCTGGACAAGGCCTGCGTCGGTTTCGTTTGGTCGACAGAAGCTTCGGAAGCCAAAGGCGTCCGGAAGGGAGTGGGTTGCGCACCGACCTGCTGACAAGTGACCACCGCACATTCTCTCTAACATGTTGCTTAAAGGGGATAGACGGCCATTGTTATATGAAGAGTCTTCGACAGACTAGACAGAATAGATTGAAAAGCTTCACCAACATAGAATGTTTAGACACATGTCAGTATTTACTTTTGGTCTGTGCTTTTCGTGTTTCTCCCAACACACCTTTCTTTCTATTTCTGCCGGCCTTGTCGAAGCGCTCCCAGGCCGAGGTGAGCTACCGCCGGGCCTTGTCGAAGATTTGGGCGCTCTACCGACAGCGGAGCGTGGTCGAGGCCGTGGACTTGGGCGTGCGACTGGTGCCTTGGAACGGGGTACGGCCGGGCACTGGCCCTCGGAAGTCTGTCTGATGGGTTTGATGAGTTGGCTTGGTAGGGGATGAAGTCATACTGGGGATTCAATGGGCTTGGTTGTCGTGTCTTGGTTTGGGCAGAAGTTGGGTGGGAATTTGCTGCCCCGGAGTTTGGCCCCACAGCAGGAAAGGGAGGATCGAAAGATTGGGGAAGCAGATTTCTCCTGTGAGCTCACTACTGCTCAGCTTGGATGTAGTCACTGACAGCTTGGATGATGCTACCATAGGTTACCAAGTTGTGGAATCTGATGAGCTTCCCAGTGTCATAGCTGGGCGCAGAGGCCAGGCTGGACATGCTAGCCATGACATAGGTGCGTTAGGAGGTGCCCAGGTGACCAAAGGACGGCATACGTAAACGTCCGATTGCAAGATGTTTATCAGCAGTTTCCATGGGATAGTGAGGGCGTTTGACCTTTTTGGGTTTGGGGTGATCAGTTTCCAGGGTCTCGTGCTAAAAACCGTCTCCGCCCTTGAGGATTTGAACCTGGCGCTGGTCTACCTGAAAGTGGAACGTCCCGAAACTCAAATTGCAGGGTGATCTTCAACAGGCCAAGAACTGCAATCTGTTCCACCACTCAGAGGAAAATAATCTTAAGAGCAGCTGCTTTAGGTGGCCAAGGGTGACATTGACACGAAGTCGATCCATTTATCAAGTGCACTGAAGGTGCCAGAAGCGTTGGGAACATGGGACAATCTGGGACAATGAATTAATTTTGCTTGTTTGATCTTTTGGGCATAGCTGCTTATATGTTTAACATCAAGACAGGCAGTGAAAACGGGTCAAGCCAATCCTGAAGGAATGCATTTCAGCTCCAAGTGTCTCAGGTTTTCTAAACATAGAAAATGGCAGCAAATGGTTGATTTGACGTGTTGATGCAACATATATACACTAAACAACCCTATGTAATAATAAACAAAATAACATATAAACGCATAACTCTGCACTAATAAAATAATGTATAGACATATATTGATAACTATACATAATATATGTTATATATATATGTTACAGTACATATAATATATATATATATTGTAATTTACTATATCTCTATTTATCCACGCACTAAACGCACAATTATTGAACTTAATCATCTCTTCTTTGACCGTCCCATGTTTTGTGAGCCAGCAAGCACTGCAGGCTATGAGTCTGCGCGGCGTTGTGCCACACGGGTGCTCGAGGCCTTGGCATGAGTTTGATGGTCATGAAAGGTAAACCACCACATGCTACCCACCGGGCTTTTGTTCGTATGCTTCGTACTTTCCTTCGTCACAACAGAGACCTCATTCGACCTTTTTTGGTTCCAAGGTGGGGTGGTTCTGGTGGGAATTCCCTGGCTGGAAGGACGGGACTCATGAAGCACTTGGATGGGTTGCAACCATAAATGGCCTTTGCTATCAGTTGGTTGATGAATCGAGAGGATACCCCAAGTGTACAACCAATAACCGTACCAAACCAATCTCTCTATTCCTCCCAAAAGGACATCACTGGAACATGAAACCCATGCAAGTCCGGGCCATGCAGCGTATACACCGTGAGCGGTGGGAACCGTGTCGCCACGGTCACGATGCGTCACCAAAACCCCTGCTTTCTTATCCTTCCTTGTCTTGATTCGCTCTTGACTGTGACTGTGTTTCGATGTTTCAGTTGAACCAAAGCACCAACTAGCAACTGACAAAGCTCAAAAGCCTCCCCCTCCCTATAGCCCCCACGTCGCTCCACCTCATTCCACGACCCAAGAGATGCCTCGCACCTCAGTTCCCTCACCGCTTGATACTCCGCTTGACTCTCCGCACTCCGTGGAGAGGACACCGGACCTACAACCCGAGTCCTCCCGCTTCCCGGCGTGCGGTGCGCGGCGCGACCGTGCGCGGCCGCGCGCGGCGCGGAACGCGAGCGCCGCGAGTCCGGCGGTCCAGGTGGAGCCGGAGAACGCGAAGGCGCTCTTTCGCCGTGCCTTGAGCTGGCGCCACGTGGGGCGCCTCAGCGAGGCCGAGGCGGACTTGCAAAAGGCCTCGCAGGCGAGGGGTTCCGAGGGGTCCGGGGACCGGGAAGAGACGGGGTGCCGATTTGGGGATGTGGGGGTGTGTTAGTTGGGGTGGTTGTGAATTGGGGAAAAAGGGTGGGCCAGATATGGCCTGATCATATGGAATGCATTTGAGGTTCGATGCTAGCAAATTTGAGCTGAATTGAAGATAATTGAAGCATTTTTTTTGCAGAGGACACAAATAGCAGATGATCCGCCAAGGTTTGTATGTTGAGCTTGGTCATTTTACATGCTTTTTACTTTGGGTTTTGTCGATGATTCAAAGACACACCAGTCTCAGCTTGTTGCCGTTCAATAGAACAAGTTATGATAATAAAATAAACACGCAGTCAAAGAAGATTTGAAGGGGGTGAAGCATTGTACTCAACCTTGCATGCCATGGGTTGCTTTACAGACTACATCCACTAACAGTTTGGGGGTTGTGGGCTCACTGCAGATTGTTGTTCCTGTCCCAACCAAACTGTCAATTTGGCAAGCAATGTAATGGTGCAGGTTGAGCGTCAACACGTCCGACGCACGGCAGCCCGTCCTTTTCCGCAGGTCTCGGACCTGCCGGAGGTCTGTCGAGAGCTGGCGGCGGTGAGAAAACTCCAAAGTGAGGACGCCACTTGGCCAGCTTCTTGCTCCGTTCGTAGTAAGGCCAGGAGCCCCGTTCGTAGCTTCTTGTTACTACTAGTAAGGCACCTGTTACTACTAGCGTGGCACTTGTTGCTAATAGCTTCTTGCTCCGTTCGTAGTAAGGCCAGGAGCCCCGTTCGTAGCTTCTTGTTACTACTAGTAAGGCACCTGTTACTACTAGCGTGGCACTTGTTACTAATAGCTTCTTGCTCCGTTCGTAGTAAGGCCAGGAGCCCCGTTCGTAGCGTCCTTGGTCCGTTCGTAGCGGCCCGTCCTTGCTCCTAGTAGCTTCTTGCTCCTATATGTTCCAGTGAGGACGGGGAGCAGTGGACCAGTGGAGTCGATGTCACATCGTTCCAGGTCGAGGTCAAGAATCTGCAGTGCTGAACGCGGTACGCCCGGGAGGGGTGCAGAACTCCTTCCTCGGAAGATCGAATTATCACCTAGTCAGCACACCTTGCTCACCACCGTGTCAAATGTGCTTGGGGATGCAGAAACAAGGCAGAAATTAGGAGGCCCCTTCCAATCTGATATAGCTCAACTGTTGATGGGGAAATGAGGATCTCTTTTTTATAGGCTTAATGAATACTGAGTACATCTCCCCAAACAAATCTCCATTCTCGGTGTCCATACCTTTGGGACCCCCCCCCAAGTCCATCACGCGGCTCAGGATTCGAGCATGCTTCGTTCGGGATTCCTGGAGGCGAAGCCGGAGGAGGTTTCGGTGCAACCAGAGGCGGAAGAGGTGGAGCAGTCAGCCTGGGCAGTGACGGAGCAGGTTCAGGAGATGAAACTCATGCGTTTCGGCAGTCAATCGGGATGTTGTACAGGCACAGGGCGTTCTTTTTTCCGGTGTGGAGTGGTTTCTTGGGTGAGCCTTAGCTATGTGGTATACTTATTATGTTATGATTCATGATGGCATTGGATGTGTTGGTGATACGTTGCCATGGTCAGATTGACGGACGCCTTGTCGCCAGGACGCCTTGCAGGACGCCTATGGCTTCCTCGAGGCCGTGGCCGTGCGCCGCGTGGCCGTGCGCAGTGCCGAGGAGAGGCAGCAGCTGTGCCACGTGACGAAGAACCCCCGTGGACAACTGACTCCACCGGGGGGGGAGCGAATCCTGATACCTCCTGGTACCTGAGGGCTAGCTAAGTCACCACTGGTACCTGGGTTAAGGTCCTGATACCTGGGGGAGTTGAAGACACATCATGGTACCTGGGGGGGAAATGATTAAACAGTGAACAGCTGACAGTCAACACTTGAATTGCGCAGGGCACCCCAAAGTGACCAGATCACACCTCCTCGAGAAGTAGCCATGTAATGCGATTACCTCTAGTTTGAGTAGATAACTATAATCGTATGATCGTAAAAAACTTAGATATATATATTATATCCTTATTATATCTCCTTATTATCCAGTAAACTCAACATAGCACCTATACATTGCCAGGTGTAGAGACAGCTTCATCTGATCTCATCTTCCAGAAGTAGATTGAGCTAGAAGTTGTTGTTGTTTTCACAGCTCTCCCCAGTTCCACAGAGCGAACGGCGGCAACAACTCTTCGTTCGTTGGGCTTTGGTCTTCAGGTCTTTCACCTGCACCGAGGCGAACACGCGGACCGCATCGGCGGCGTCCTTCAGCAAGTGCGACAGACCCTTGAGGTTCGTCGCCGGTGCGACGAGGGTCCGGGTCCGCGTGGCATGAATGGATGAGAACAAAAGCGCCAAAGAAACGTGTTCAAAAGTGAGGAACATCCACCATCCAGGAGGGTGATCAGCCGAAATGCCCAGCGAACCGGCTCGACATCACTGTCAGGAGGCCACCATCGTCCCTCCTCCAGACACACTAACCACCACACCTGTTGCGGCGGTGGAAGTGACGGAGCTGCTGAGGACGGCTGGGTTGATGGAAAGATCGAGCTGCGTTGTATCCATTATTTGTTGGCATGTCATTGGCCATTTATATTTATAATAGATGTCAATGATTAGTCAGAACGTACTGGATAGACATTGGCCAAATGCAGGAAGATGTTGAAGGGCTTGAGAAGCTTTCCGCCCTTCTTCAGTTTGCAAGAGCGCAGCTGTGGGGAGTGCCGTGGCATGTTGATGATGGACCGACGCAGAAGATCAAGACTGACTTATGGGATGAAGATCAACCCGAGTTTGATGCTGTAGGCCAACAAAGAATCTTATTTGGATTGGAGGGGAAGCTGTTGGCAAAGAGTTGGAATGACTGACAACCAGCGAAAAGCGACTGTAGATCACTCAATACACCTGTATCATGCGCATAAAGGACCTGGGATTTTCCCCCCTCTAAACCTGCCGACGGCCCGGTCGTTCGGCCGGCCTGGACGTCGCAGGTTCCGCAGCCTGCGCGTCTGTCGCCAGCTGGGCACCGAGCCCTGGAGTCTGGACGTGGAACTCATTTGTTGGGGCGACGCTGAGGCGACCGGGTCCGGGTGGGTCGGGGATCGCGACCGGGACGGAGAGGTGACAGGAGAAGAACATGCAGGATGGACAATGTGGATGGAGTAGGAGGCAACTGGGTCAATTCCAGGGTGAATCAAAGGGAGACAAAGAGTGTCATATATATATATATTATTACATGCAGCATATATTATATATATGTACATGTTGCCTGGGTGGACTAATCACCATATACTTGCATGCAACAGAAACAGGCTGTGACACCTCTGAGATCAGGAGACCTGTCTTTACTGTGCCAGTGCTAGTAGGTCGGAGGCCATCGGAGGGCAGAGCGGCCTTCAAAAAATGCAAACACATCCGTGTCAAGCTCCAACTGTGCACAGGAGGCCACACCAGAGACCTTTGCCTCGGCATTGCTGGGCCCTAGCGGCAAAGCCACATCAGATGAGGTGAAGTCGTGGCAGCGCCAGCTGTTCGACACTGAAGCAGAAATTTGAGGAATACTGGATGGCTAGGTTGGTCGCGCACCGTTTTGTATTATATATGTGGTGTTTAAGTTGATGTCTTTATCCCCCGTTAGGATTTCCCTAGGACATGATTCGACCTAATCAGCTATGACAACAGGTCTTCCATCCCCGAGCAGCCCGAGCAATTCCTGGAGTGATTGTGCGATGTGAGTTGAAGGGAGGAAATCAAAGACATGACCCTCAAGGTATATATATTCCTTGGTTTTCTAAGGCACGTCTCTACGTCATGTTTTACAATTTTTTGTCCTATTACTACCTGTTCTATTACAGTCAGTAAACATTTTTTTTTGAACAAGGCCTTTACTAACCATATCTAACCGTCATCATCCACTGTTACTGATAATAGGCAAGACCCAAAGTATGTTTAAACAACCTGTTGCTTTGAGGACCCTCTACAACTCTAGAAAATTACATTATATTTTGTTGATTGGCTTGTTTCACTTGCAATGTGGGTAAACAAAAACGAAGCACAAGCAATGAAGTAGAGATGCGTTGTTTGATCAAGTTGGTCCCATTAAACTTAAATGTTTGACTTGAATAACTTAAACAAAACAGCAAGACATGTACTTTCCTGACCCCCTTCCATGTTCTAGTCAAAAGTGCAAGCCCTGAGTGTTCTAGTCACTGCTAAGAGAATGCTCCAGCCAAGTTCTCTTCAATTTCAAAGGGATGCACACACACACATATGTCTGAGAAACATTGAACCCACGAGAAAGTGGGTGCGTGAAATTGTATCCATCGTTATTTTCAAGACTAAGATTCCAAGGAAGCGGTTAAGTTATTGCCAGGTCTCGCTCATTATCAATGTTATTCAACACGTGTTCCTTTTGCACTCCATAGAATATAGAACATGACTTGTGTTTTTTCTTTGTTTCCTATTCCACTGACAATGGAACAGGTGAAAAGGACGATTCTGGAGATGCACGAAAGCATGAAGATGAGCTCATGAAATGTTGACCTTCTAGAATGCCTTGCATTTCTTAGAGAGTGTTGTTTTTCACGATTGATGTTTGTATGGATCATGCTGCGGGTGTTCCTTTCTGCCCATGTCCGGTGATTTGGCAACCATGGACATGGCGGTTCCCAGTTTGTACACGATCTCAACCACTCTGGTTCAGCCGGCCCTGGACTTGACGCGTTGGATTCGCGTTGGATTCCAGGACCGGATCTTCTTGAAGGATGCCAGCCAGTACGTGGCAGGCCGCATGGCACTCATAGAAACAAGGCCGTAGGGACCTCGAGTTGTGATGAGTTGTGTGGGGATTTTTCAGGGGTGAGACATGGTCGGGCGGACATAAAGATGGCAAGCATCCGAGTTCCCAAGGGACTAGGACTAGGAAAAGGTAAGTGGTGCAAGCGAGCCTTTTTGGTTTCCATAATGATAACCCAAGAAATATCATCCAGGTTCATATTCAAAACAATCTCTTACTTGCTGCAGTTCCCGAGCTGCAAAACGTTTTTCCTGCGATTCGACGCCCCAAACCTGGAGAGGTCCATGCAATAGAGATGTTCAGAATCACATCATGTTCAGATACATTGGCTGGATGCTCGCTGTTTTGGTTCGTTTTAAAGTGTAACAATTCAGTGTTTTTTTTATTCCCGAATGCGTAGCGAAGGGTTCTCGTTTAACTCTTGGGGGTCTGGGGGTAGAGTCTTGTTCGCGACCCGTTGCTTCTATGTTCGCAACCGTCCGCAACCGTTCGCAACCGTTCGCAACCGTCCGCAGTAGGTCGCTAAGGCGCTGCCATTGGGGGAAGCTTTTGCAAGTGACTATTCATGGATGTGTCACGTGTCAGTTTGCGACGCTAGTCCATTGTGATTTGCGTGAAAATGACATATCGCGCAAGAAGCGTGATGCATTTCGCTGCACAGGCGCAGCGTTTTGTGAGATCTGCAGATTGCTGCGCAGTTCCATTGGGATTAGCGTTTGGAGAGTCGTGTTTTTGGGGTG